GGGGTGCGCGGGGATTGGTGCAGCCCCGAGAACGGAGCGCCTTGCGCGGGAGGGGGGGAGAGGAATTGGGAGGGGCCTGCCCCATCTGGACGGGGGTGCAAAGGAGCCCCAGGGAAGTTGGGGTGCAAGGACCTTGGAGGTTGCCCCCCAGCTGCTTTCCCTTCTCAAAGGGTTTAGGCTTCATTGCCCCCCCAACCCCAGCGGCCTCTCCCCCAGCCCCTTCTCCATCCTGCCCCAAATCTCCTCTCTGCTCCTCAGAGCAGCGGAGTGCAGAAGGCGCTGGGGGGTGTGTGTGTGCTGGTCCGCCCCCGCCCCCAATTCCTGGGTCCCGCTCCTGACTCATCCCTGCCTGCAGGGCTTGACTCTGCATGTGGAAGAGCTCCCCCCCCATCTGCACATGGGGTGGGAATCAAAGTGGCTGGGTTTTGGCAGCTCATCCACCCCCACCAGCACCCCATCTGCCCCTTTCCAAATTAGGGGGCGGGGGGGGGAAGTGGACTGTCTCAAAAGGGTCCATGCGCACCATCGCCTCTGCACCCTCCCTCCCTGAGAAGGAAAGGCACCTCTTTTTCTGCCGGCGACTTCCATGGGGGGGTCTTGCTCTGTTTTTTTGGGGGGGCTCTTGGGGGCTCTTACTTGGCCCACGAAACCTGTGGTTCTGGGCCAATGATTTCAGCGGCCCAACCTGGTCTGGAGAGGAAGAGGAGGAGGAAGAGGAGGAGAACGCTGGCCAGGGGGATGATGGATTGGGTCCTTGCACCTTGGTCTCCCTCCCCCGGATGTGGAAGAGCTTCTCCTGGCACGCAAGGCTCGGCCGGCCGCTTTTAGCCTCCCTCCCGAAGGAGGAGGCCACGCTTTTGGCTTTTGGCCCCGTTGGCCCAGCCCTGGCACCTGGCGGTGGGCGATCGGAGCTGGCTTGGGCACCCTTTCCCTCTCCGGGAAAGATTCCTGGATCGTGGCTCGGCCGCTTCTCTTCTGACGATGGAAAGGGGGGGGGCTCAGGCCCCCCAGAGGCTTCCGTGCCTTCGAAATGTGCTCCCAGGCAGAGGAAGGTGTGTGTGGGGGGATGCCACTCCGTGCAGAGGGCCCGCACCCGTGGCCGAGGCTGATTTTCAAATTCCTACCCTTGTGGCCGTCCATGGCCTTTGGCTTCAGCCTGCAGGCCAGGGTGGGGAGGGGGTCCCTGGCCCCCTTCCTTTCCGAGGCCGGCCTGCATCCTGCTTGTGGGATGGGGAGCAAGAAAGATTGAGGTTGGGGTGCACGTGGCTGAGCGGGCCCGTTGGGGGTCCCCCCCTCAAGGGGGCCGGGAGAGAGGCTCTTGGGTGACTGGCAGTGTGAATCCCCCTCCCTCCCTCTTCCCTCCTTATCTCGCCCCCCCCCAGTGTAGTCTTATTTCCAGTTGTGGTGGTGATTGGGGGGGGGGAAGAGGAATGTCGTCGCATGAGAGCGCCCCCGGCTGGACCGATCTGGGGCCTGCCAGGCCAGGGGGGAGCCACAGCCGCCGCCTGTCCAGTTTGATTTTTCCTGGGATCCCCGCAGGCGGAAGTGGAAGGGGAGCCCTGGGGGTGGGGGTGGCGGCAGGCGGTGTTGCAGCCCTCCCTTCAGAAACCCCCTTTTTATGGCCCCTCTGCCTCTAAGGGGGCTCCCCTGAGACCTTCCCCCCCCCAGGTCTCTCTCTCTCTCTCTCTCTGTCTCATGGATGCTGGGAGGCGGCCAGGGACCCTCTCCAGCCCCAAGGGCTTCCCCCCCCCACCTTTCCTCCTGTCCTGTCCCTGGGCATCCTTTTGATTTTCTCCGGAGGGTCCCCACTCCGGTCGTCCTCTGACCGACTGGCTGCAAGGGAGGAAGCCCAGAAAGGGCTGGAGCCCCCGGCTGTGGGGTCAGCCGCTTGGTGGCTGTTGGAGAATCCGGTCAGCGGGGGGGGGGGGCCTTTTGTAGAGCCCAGAGCAGGAATGGCAGGGGACGATGGGGATGGGTGTGTATGTGTGTGTGTGAGAGAGAGAGAGAGAGAGAAGGCCGAGAAGGTCTGTGTTCTCCCAGCAGCCAGAGGGAGGAATGAGCAAGACCCATCTGCTTGGGTGGGTGGGGGGACCACGTGGCTGCCTGAGGACCACCCCGGCCTTTGGGCCATCTGGACCTTCCCTCTTGCTCCCCCCAACCAAACTGTCCTGTCCCCTTCCCGCCCCTGCCCCAGCACAGAGGAAGAAGGTTGTGGGTGGAGAGATGGGGCAGGTGGTGGGGTCCCTCCAGAAGGGATGCTCTCCAGTGAAAAGGCGGAGGAGGAAAGGA